CGCTGTACAAAAGTATACATATCAAGATGACGTGTGTTATCTGCAGTCATGTTGTTGTTTGAAATCACTAAACAAAAGTATACATATCAAGATGACGTGTGTTATCTGCAGACATGTTGTTGTTTGAAATCACTAAACAAAAGTATACATATCAAGATGACGTGTGTTATCTGCAGTCATGTTGTTGTTTGAAATCACTAAACAAAAGTATACATATCATGATGACGTGTGTTATCTGCAGACATGTTGTTGTTTGAGATCACTGTACAAAAGTATACATATCAAGATGACGTGTGTTATCTGCAGAAATGTTGTTGTTTGAAATCACTAAACAAAAGTATACATATCAAGATGACGTGTGTTATCTGCAGTCATGTTGTTGTTTGAGATCACTAAACAAAAGTATACATATCAAGATGACGTGTGTTATCTGCAGGCATGTTGTTGTTTGAGATCACTAAACAAAAGTATACATATCAAGATGACGTGTGTTATCTGCAGTCATGTTGTTGTTTGAGATCACTAAACAAAAGTATACATATCAAGATGACGTGTGTTATCTGCAGTCATGTTGTTGTTTGAGATCACTGTACAAAAGTATACATATCAAGATGACGTGTGTTATCTGCAGACATGTTGTTGTTGACCGAGCTCATGTGGGCAGTGTTATATATACCCGAGTACAACAAACCACCTGAAGACAGCCGCTAAGGCAGGTGTCACAGACTGGGTGTTCTATGGACCTTGTCAGCCAACACTACAACCCCCGTACATGCTTCAGATGGTCAGGTTCGGTGTTCGGTGACTTGGTTGTGGCGTGTCATCGTACCGCGACGGCGTGGACCGTAGCTCACATTATCAATCGCTGGATTGTGTGGTCCAGATTCGAATATTATACAGGCCGCCATCATGTAGCTGGACTATTGGGGAGTGCGGCGTTTTATAACAAGGAGAGTAAGAGAGAGAGAGAGAGAGAGAGAGAGAGAGAGAGAGAGAGAGAGAGAGAGAGAGAGAGAGAGAGAGAGGTTGGGGTACAGGTGCAATGGATGGACTGCTGAACACGGATACAGTCACCAATCATGTGAGGGTGTGGTTGCTGGTATAGAAAGAGTCTTCAGAGTGGGTATTGTGTAGATATACAGGGACTCTCTCTTGTGAGTAAAGCAGATATACAGGGACGCTCTGTTGTGAGTACAGGGTGTTCCAACCGTGCCGCTAGAGCGCCCATGATCTGCTCCAGTGACTGGTCGGCTTGTGTCACACCAGACAGTTCATCTCCCCGACACTCCATGCTAAACGTTGTGTACTTATCTACCCCGGGCTGTTATCAGGAGGCGGGATCTGAGACTGTCACGTTCTGTTGTACGCCTCCATATGCTATAGTGTACTGCAGTTCATGGGGAGTCCCATGTTTGATGTCGTATTTGTGACATTGCATTGTTGTCCTATGACGTAGAAGATGAGTATCGCTTATGTAGTGTGTCCTAATTAGGTAACGTTTAGGCGTCATTATCTACCTGTATATACAAGTATACAAACATGTTAAATTAACTTAATCTTTTGAAGGATGTTCATAAATTAGCAACATTTGTGTATTGTTTGAAAAGTGTAACAAAGTAAACCTTGGATATCTTAAAGGATATGGTTGCGTTGCACATAGAGTTCGTGACAGAAACTTTGGGTTCAGAAGGGAATCGATAGAGAAAGGACATTTTCCAGTTATCATCGGATTGTTTCCACGTTGTCGTCGATTATTTAATGAAACAGAGAGGTAGAACATTAGCATACTGATTTAAAAGTTCTTCGTCAGTCGGTGACAACTGTGAATCCAGCTCAATATTGGGGCAAGAGGGGTCAGGCTGGAGTTGATTGGATGATGATTGAGTTATAAGAACGTGAGGTGAATTTGTGAAAATTTTACTAGTGAGGAATCGAGATGGTTCAGATTTTTCAGCCCAACTATTTATTCTAAACAAAAGCTTGCGATAACCTATTCATATCTTTGAAAGGTGCCTCTATCAGGTAAACGTAAATCTGGGTGGGGCGAAGGAAAAGAAGGGTGGGAACGACAATAGGAAACTAGAATGGGATCGTCTTAAACATTTTGTTCAAGAAACACCCGCATACTCCACCATGTCGTAACTGCGTTCTAGGGTTATCTGGTCCCTTCTACAGCTGCCTACTTTTTATGTCAGGACTCTACTACTAAGGGTCATATAAGTCACGGTATAATTGGTCTATCAGCCCAGACTCCGAACTGTCTCCATCAGCATTCATCTGCCGGCCCTTGCTCTCATTGATCAACACAAAACACGGGTTGTACTCACATCTGTTTAATAACGCTTCAGTCCATCTTCAAAATACGTCTAAACATGATAGGCATGAGTCGTCACAGAGCGGGAAAACAGGGTAGTATTGATTTGCTTCGGTCGCAGACAAAGCCCGCGCTACTCAGTGCCAAAAGTATCTTTTAAGGACATCGAGTCAGACCTTTCTTTGTCACATGTAATAAAACCTCAATTTGATTCGTTAACAGTTTGATATGGCCAAGAACTCATTTGTGTCGTAAACGGAAAGATAGCGGACCCTACGTGGCAGATTCAACATATCTCTATTGTCTTACTCTGGATCAGACAGATGAAAAAGTGTTCCACCTCTCTGGGGTATTGATGGTCTTCAGTCGTACCAACACATGTTCATGTATAGTTATTATGTAATTCACTAGTGGACTTTGGCCTACTTGAGAAGTATATCACAAACCAAACCAAAACATGTCTTGTGGTGATGTTACATTTTAGTCCCAGTTATGATGTTGTTGTTTTTCAGAGCTTTTTATTCACTTCAAGGGTGGTTACATGGCAAGATAAACATCCTTGGTAGACAATAAACTTTTGTGGTACAGACGTCAGGTGTTGGCGAAAGATGTACATTCTTGGTATTATTCTAAATGTACATAGGCATTATTGACCTCAAAACATTCTTCCACTGAATAGTCTGTTCTAATATATCTTCCAGTTATGATGTTACATTGTGGTCCTATATATAATGTAACTTATTGTGGTCCAATTTATGATGCTGTTACAATGTGGTCATATTTATGTTATGTTGTCATTATATTTTTGATGTTACAAAGTGGTCATATATTTGTTATGTTGTCGTTCTATTAATTGTGTTACACTGTGGTCATATTTATGTTATTGTTACATTTATGATATTACATTGTGGTTCTACTTATGGTGTAGCATTTTGGTTCTATATATGATGTTACATTGTGGTCCTATATATGTTACATTGTGGTTCTATATATGATGTACATTGTGGTTCTACTTATGGTGTAACATTATGGTTCTATATATGATGTTACATTGTGGTCCTGTATATGTTACACTGTGGTTCTATATATGATGTACATTGTGGTTCTACTTATGGTGTAACATTATGGTTCTATATATGATGTTACATTGTGGTCCTGTATATGTTACACTGTGGTTCAATATATGATGTACATTGTGGTTCTACTTATGGTGTAGCATTTTGGTTCTATATATGATGTTACATTGTGGTTCTATATATGATGTGCATTGTGGTTCTATATATGATGTACATTGTGGTTCTACTTATGGTGTAACATTTTGGTTCTATATATGATGTTACATTGTGGTTCTATATATGATGTGCATTGTGGTTCTATATATGATGTTACATTGTGGTTCTATATATGATGTACATTGTGGTTCTATATATGATGTTACATTGTGGTCCTATTTATATTTATTATATCTATTTATTTAGTATGTAAGAAGTTACATTTTGGTCCTGTATATGAGGGTACATTTTGGTCCTATTTATGTGATGTTGTTCTATTAATGATGTTCTATAACATGGTGCTTTGTATGGCATTACATGGTAAATGTCTTCTTTACAGTATGGTGTATCTCTTTTATAAGAATACAATTCTAGTCATGATGTTACTATGTTTATGTGGTTACATTGTAGTTTTATTTAAATTGCCAGTGTGTAGTACCAATAATGACGCCACATTGAAAACCAAACCATAATGGTTAAGATCCTAACATACACACCAACACCATGCAGTTATATGTGACCATATATGAACCAGAATCTCCTCAACATGACATCACAAATACATGTAAACCCTAAACACCAACACCATGTGACCATATATGAACCAGAATCTCCTCAACATGACATCACAAATACAGGTACTCCCTAAACACCAACACCATGTGACCATATATGAATCAGAATCTCCTCAACATGACATCACAAATACAGGTACTCCCTAAACACCAACACCATGTGACCATATATGAATCAGAATCTCCTCAACAGGACACCACAAATACATGTACTCCCTAAACACCAACACCATGTGACCATATATGATCCAGAATCTCCTCAACATGACACCACAAATACATGTACTCCCTTAACACCACATGAGCAGTCATGTGACACGTACACGCACCACGAACCTGCAGAGGATTACAATAGTATTCTACTCCCCACGAGGATTGTATGGCCATTGAACACTATCAAGAACACAACTCATTGATGCGCACTTAATAACTCCTTCAATCTGTGCACACAACAATGTAGGTCAAGACTGGGTACGTTCTGTGTTTTCAAGATGAAAACCCTATGTCGTGTGTATCTATGAGGTACATATGTTTAAATACTGTGTTGAGGTTTAAAACGACGAATCCTCAAATGACGAGTTCATATTGGTACACTGTCGGGCAAAAGAAGGTATACCCATGTTTGATGATGGCTAACAAGTAAACAACCAAGAAATAGTTATTCGATGGTGATACATTTGATACGGCATCATAGGCGAAAGCCCAATGCAACTTACCAATGCGTCTCTCCAAGGGGGTCTGCCTTGTAACGTTTTGGGTCAAATCCAATTTTCAAGTGTATACTTTCTTTTGCCAGGCAGTGTAAGAAGTGGGGCACTGATCCGATCAAAATGTCCTTACCTTGGGTCAGACAGATGTGACACAGTGCCAGGAGGTGTGAGAACAGTAGCCCTCCCTGCTTCATTGTCGACAGTATCCCTGCGCGTCTTCCATGGACCAGCACAACGGTGTCTTAAAGAGACAAGGAAGTAGAAGACCGGCAGCACGCCACAGTGTACACCTAGAGCTAACTGACCCCTTCACCGTGTATGTCTTGGGAGACGGGTAGAGTGACTGAAGCAGAACCGAATTACCAGTTAAGCATGTCCTAGTTGGAATGCGCAGAGGACACAACATAGATTTGATGTCAGTGGACAAGGTAAGTGTGTGTTCCAGAGGCAGCCATCCATGGCCAGACTCCAGAAACTGTTCAACTGCTTAGTGAATGTTTCAGTGACAGGGAAGCTGTTGGGGTCGGCTTAGGTACACACTTGAGGTACATTACACAAATGTAATGTAAATGTACTTGTTGTAAACAAACAAATCATCTCAAAGACGACCATCCACATTTCTCACAAACAATGAACTACAGTTATTCATGATGTACATCTACTTCGACTAGACATCAGTCAGGGGAACACCACAATGATCACGCGGCTGCTTTATTGCGTGTGTTTGTTCGGGAAATGTGATACGGTGGGATTCATGACAGCCGACTGGTACGATTAATTGTCCAGAACCTCGTACTTAAACAAACAAACAAACAAACCATTTCTTAACAAAGTAAAGCATTTGAAGGAGTGTGGATCAGATCAGGTATGTCAAACTTGAGATGCCTGCTTCTTTATACAGTCGTCATGAATAGGGCGCCTGTGTTAGGTGCAAAGCACTGCCAGGTCGGCGCACACCAACACTCGGCTGCTCACGCTATGCTTATCTGAGTTTTCTTTGTTTGTTTGTTGTTAACGCCGCATTCAGCAATATTCCAGCTATATGACGGTGGTGTGTAAACATCTAAACACGTGTCGTTTATGCTAATGTGTCTGTTCGCCAGAGGTCATTATTACGTTCAAGACGTCAATACTGTTCTTGGTGTTACAGAATAAGGCTTGGGTTAGGTAGGGTTGAGAAATGGTGGGTGAGTTCAGGTAGTATAAGACTTTTAGTACAGAAATTCTACCTAATGGGGTCAGGTCACGTGCTAACCAAGAGTTCATGATAACTTTTAAACTTTTAAGTTTGTCTTTGTAATTTCTTTCTACCATTTCTGCCAAATTGTGAGTAAAAATAATACCGAGAAGAGTAAAACTTGTTCTTGAGCAATCTAAATTCTAACTTTTGCACATAGTTTTATCAGAGAAGCGTTGTGAGCCAATCCACAACACTTGCGTTTTGCTTGTGTTAATTTTTAGGCCTGAAAAAGACGCATATGTTTGAAGAGTTGTCATGGTGTTTTGGAGACAGTTTTCAGTTCCATCTTAAATGAGAGATGTGTCGTCTGCGAATTGGGAAATTAGTTATTCTATCTCATTGATCGTTATTCCGTTTATGATTTTTAATAGTGCGCAGCATTATAGTCAAAATTTCAGCTCATAACAAGAATATATAGGGAGATAACGGGTCGCCCTGTCTACATCCTCTTGTTACTTTAAAAGAATCTGAAGCAAAACCGTTAACTAAAACACAAGATTTTATATGGTTGAGAATGTTGTTATCCAGTTTTTAACTGAAGGTCCAAAATTGTGATGTGTATGTATATACATATGCGTGACACTGTTCCCGCCTTTGTGATGTGTATGTATAGGTAGATAGATCATCTTTATTTCCTCCAAGTGTTGAAGATATATTGATATGAGATATTACGGCATTCTACAAATGTTTATAAACAACGGGTGATATATTGTATGTACAGGCAGTTTCACATCGTTATCATATAATGTTTCTTAGAAGGTTTTTCCACATTTTAACAGTTTTACATACAAGGAGCATTATATTTGTCCAAACATTGTATTCAATAGCCATAGTACTTCCTGTTGGCAAGCCGCCAAGTAAAAGGGACAGAAAGGTATCGTCTTCGTCGTTCCAAATACAAGATAAAGTTGTAACATCCAGTAAATCAATAACAGACTCAACAAGGATATTTCTTTGTTGTTTAGTCTTTTTACAATACATAAATACATGTTTGATAATATCAAAAGCAAATGTGACGCATAAACATTCATCGGCTTATATACTGTAGGTGCTCAGACATAATAAATATGCTATATCATAGAAGTGTTCCGGCCTTTCAATTGTTAGTAACCATAGTCTGTGTACCTTGGGTGATCGTATGAGAGAGTATCGTTTTAGGTTTTCTCTTGAATTAAGCTGTGCATAAATTACGTTACGGCCACGCACACTTATTTGTTCTTTAATTCGACTCGCCCATGCATGTCTGTTGGGAAATTAAGAAGAGGTGGTATAGGTGTTTATATCATTATTGAGTTCATACTTGTTTACTAGTGATAGCATGTGGTTTTCGTGTGACATTTTACATTTATCATCTTTTTCTTTAATTGTATCGAGTTGATACGGAACAAGTCTGTGCTGTAATAGTCTTTTAAATGCAAAGTTAATGTCACTATTACATTATCTTCCAAGGAATAAGAGGGTTCGTTGATCAATGTACGCCTGGAGAGAAATTAAGCCAAGACAATCTCTGGTGACGACGAAAGGAGTGCGTCTAGACAATCCTTAAATCTTTTTACAAACATAACGCTGAATAATTTCAAACATTTCGTAATATCACCCTTTCCATAATACGAACAGCTGGGGCAGAATTTAAACCACGAACATATTGCCCATGATCATTATTTATATAGACTAACATTCTGAGTTTTTCACATATTAAATGGGTACGTGCTAAGGTTTTCTTACTTAAAAGAAATCCAGCATAAGTTACATTTTCCTTTTTAGGAAGTACTTGTGAACCAATGTAGAGACGTTGACAGACCTATTTGCGAATATTACCAAACAGTAGAAATGCACTTTTACTGGCATTATATTTCAACTGCCATCTAGCATATGTGTATATATCATTCAGTACACACTGCAGCCGTCAGGGAAGCAGCTCAACAGTGTAGTATCGTCTCCTAATAGGGTGCCGGGTGTATTACCCAATGGAAGACACAAACCACGCCCTGAATCATCAAGTGAATACAACAAGTCATTAATATACAGCGTAAAAAGCCATGCCGATAAAACGCGAACCGCCACAATACCTCTCTAACACTCTGTGTTGTTAAAGACTTTGATGAGCATTTGGAAGTTGGGAAGCATAAATGCATGACACAAAAAAGCGTCATGTATTCACGTTGTGCTCAAGATCATGACTATAACATTTAGGGAAAAGAAGCAAAATTGATTTAGTAGCCACGTAGTGTAGTTGTATACCATCTGTGTTATTCTGGACTTGATATGTTAATTCATTTATATTAAAGGAAAATCGAAATTGATTTAAAATACACCCTTGGCGGACACCGATGTTACTTATAAAATTATCCGATATAACGCCATTTCTTTACAAACATGCACCTTTACATGTTTATCTAAAGTAACAGTAACATCCCAGTCCTGTTGCTGAGTCCAGGTCTTAAAACGAAGGATCCTAAGTTAACCATTTTCACCTGTCAAAAGCCTACAAGGCAGGCCTCAGAGCGAGATGGCTTTTCAGAGGTGCGTTGAGATGTGGCATAGCCCGATGTGATCTCATGATCTGGACAGTGACATATTCCGTGTCATGTTTTCCTGATGGACACGCGTCCACTGTTGTTTCGATGTGCAATAGATGTGTTACTTCTCACACGCAAACTGCATTTTAGGAGTATATATATGCATGTGACTTTTGTATAATAAACTGAACTCTTGGTAACTGATTAATGATTTTACGTCATGAACGTCTTTCTATTTGTCTAATTTGTAGCATGATAATCACCCGTTTCTATTTAGTCTTATTGATCAGTCGTCTCGCCCAACCCCGTCTTGTGACAAGGATGGAGGAGGTAATTATGGAGTTACGACAATTGTGCTACCGTCACGTACGTGGTGCGTGTGGTCCTGCTCATTCAGCATGGGGGCTTGTGCGTGCGTCTTTCGCGAACACTTGACATCATTACTATTTGATAGTGATTCATAAACACTTGCTCAAGACATTGTCGGACTCGCACTCTCGACTTTGCCGAATGCAGATATTTCTATTGGATATGGAAAGGGTTTTGGCGCTTATTTATCTTATTATCTTTTTATTAGATTTCATTTTGAATTTTCGTGCCCGCTTCCCTTCATTTTGCAAACGGCGCCAAATCGCCTTTTCGCCATTTCGTCATGTTGTGTTACTACCATGTCCGGTCGTGATATTGACATGTCGTGTCGTCATTCGTCGTGTTTGGCTGTATCGTAATATGGCTATATATTGTCACCATGTCCCGATCGTGGATACGTCAGGACGATATCGCTTTAGCCCCTCTCAGCCACCGTGTCAGAGTGATGGTTGAGGGTTGGATGTTGTGACGCCAGTGTAAGCTAGGGCTTGATTGAAGGGCGTTATTCATACACGTACAGAAGCTACAGATGTTGTGACGCCAGGGTTATATAAGCTAGGGCTTGATTGAAGGGCGTTATTCATACCGGTACAGAAGCTACAGATTTTGTGACGCCAGGGTTATATACAACAGGACTTCATTGAAGGGCATTATTTATACCCGTACAGAAGCTACAGATGTTGTGACAATAGGGTTATATATGCCAGCACTTGACTGAAGGGCGTTATTCATACTCGTACAGAAGCTACAAATGTTTAACACCAGGCGGATCTGAATGAGTTCTCTGACGCCATGATGAATGCTTAACGTGTCACGACGTTTGACCCGTGTCTGTTGACTCGGCGCGATTTAGTAACCAAATCCGAGTAAACGCTGCCTCTGACGCACAAAGTTTGAATACAACGACCAGATAAAGACAGGGATACACTATTGTAAACACATTCATGCATCAGTCTATTATGGCCTCGAAGGAAAAACTGCCCGTTTTAGTTTAGCCGTATCACGCGACTAGTTCTCCGGAAGTGCAGGAAATGTTAAGTTACAGTTCAACCAACTTCAAATTAAAAATACTGCTCTGAGGAAAGTTAGCTGCTGTAAAATGAAACGTTGCAGTAAAACAGTATTAGGGAAAAGTTTTTAAAAAGTTATTTCTTTTGTGGTTGTATGATTTTGTGTGAATGTTTGAGCAAGTTGAGTTGTAACCACTCAAAAGCA